TACTCAGGACAGGCAGGGGAATAAATGGGCTTTTCTCGGCCTAGTGCAGAACAGGAAGAGGCACTGTCCTCTGTCCTGGTGCTGAGAAGGAGATGCCCTGTTGCTGACGGCAGACTGAGAACTTTCCCGCTCCGCACTGGGGCAGGCAAAAGGACCTGACTTCAATCAGTTGCTGGTTGGAAGTAAGATCTTTTGACTGGGCGAGGAACAAGGAAGAGCTGAAAGGTGGGATGGAAATACCTGTAGGCAGTATCTGGCTTGTTGCTGCTGCTGTTTAATTTTTAAAGCCCCAAGGGCTTAAGAGGGATGGATTACCATGCCATATTCATGCTTGTTGAGATTCTTCAAGTTTCCCCTCCACACTCTGCTTGCCTTACTTGCATTCCCAGATGGAGCAACCCTTTCAATGGGGAAAGATATGCATTTGTACCCATGCCTGAAATACACACCCACGCCCGATGCAAACCTTGGTTCTTGCTCCTGTAAGATTAAAGGAAAGGGCCTGTTGCCATCCAGGAAATGGCCACAGGAGTCCCTGTGCAGGCATCTAGCTCAGGCTGCCATTTCTCCACATTCCTGCATGGAGAATATAACTGGGAGAAATGTTTGCCCCAGCTTCTGTGCAGCTGTGAGAAACGCAAGGCAACCTCAGATACGAGTGGGGAGGAAACCCATGTACACGGAGTGAAGGTCTCCCAGTTGCTCAAGTGGCAAGGAGACGGATCCCACAACATTCGTGGAGACCAGAGAACAGGGCCTAAGCTGCTGTGGCCCTAACCTGAGCTGCAGGCGGACTTCCTCAACTGGTGCAGTGAACTCCCCTGCAACCTCTCTTGGCCAGAGCTGACCGGTGGTGCTGAATCATTTCTATCCATCCCCTCCTGCTGCCCCTCAAGTCCCCCCAAGGCAGTGAGCTGGCCCTTAATGTGTGCCGTTGAGTTGTTTTCCTTGGGTGGAGTCCACAGGAAGGCAAGCAGGAGATCAGGCCTGGGTCCCTCCATGCCTTATCATGCCTGCTCCCAGGGGGAGAGTTTCTAGCGTGAAAAGCTAAAAGTCAAGCCATTGTTTGCATCCTTCCCCTCTCTTAAACAGATTAGCACACTGACGCCCCTTTTAAGGATGCATGAGCAAAACCACTTAACATTCTGCCCTTTTAAAAGACTCCAAAAATGGAACAAGCTGCAAAAGATCAACTCACAGTATAAAGCAGAGGCCAGGAGAGGATTAGGGTTAAATATGCATTATTGCAAAAGTACAAGAGAAGAAGGTCATACCTCCCCGGTCTATAGTAGATACAGGATTAAACAGAGAGCCTTTAATCACTAATCACTTACTGTACCTTTCAGAAGTGGTATATAAAAGACAAACAGCCATGAGTCAGCTCAAGTCACAGAGCCTTTGAATCGGTGGGAAGGGAAACCCACTAAGGGATTCTGGAGCTCAAGGCGGGGAAGGCACCGCCATGTTACCAAGAAAGGGGCAATGAAGGACATGGATTGGCAGGTCTCTTGACATGGATTTGCCAATGTATATGTGTAAATGCAAATTTAGCAAGGATTACTGTATGGAATAGACCATAGCTCAACTTCAAAGCCCTTGCCGCTCTCGCTCTTAGGGTTCAACTGGACTGGGACTGGACAATGCTTTGAAAAGCAGACCACTTCCCATAGCAGACTCTGCTCAGACAGCTCCTCAGGCTGAGGACTGTCATCTGCAGAGGACACTTTCCAGCTGAAATGCTCCAAGCCGTATCCTCATTCAGAGTTCGCTCCAGATCAGGATAGGTAAGCAAGGGAGCCGATCTCCCCTACCCAGTGTTGCGACCTGGAAGCCACTGATGCTTGGCATTGAAAGTGTCCAAGCAGTGGGCACACTGTAGCCAAATGTTGGCAACTAACCATGACTCCAGCCCTGAAAGGCCAGATTGGGCTTTTAAAAATGCGTGCGCCTTGTTTTGATGGAGAATTTGGCCCATTTAGACCATGGTTGTGGTTTGGCACTGAAAGGTGTGGCGAGCGGGCCGTTGTTTTGGCTTCACTCAAGGAGGTCCATGGGAGGTCTATGTGGACCTTGGATCACACCTCCAGCCTCAGAGTTTATTTATTTATTTGTTTGTTTGTTTTATTTGTTTGTACGTGCATTTATAGGTCACCTATAACTGCCAAGGCCTTCCTAGATTTTCAGAGCAGCCACAAGCAAGGGGTTTGTTTGAATGCCCAAAATGTGGTGACAACAGTCCCATCTAACCCACAGTTCTTGCCCCACACATATTATAAACACTGTCATATGGATGATTTGACAGACCATAAACCAATGGACGGGGTTCCCTGGTTTTCCTTCTGGTTCACCAATGGCCCGCCATGGTCTTAAGCTTTTAGTTCTATTGCTCACATTTAGTTTTAGACTAGACAACATATTATATTTGCCAAAGGCCAGACATTTAACATTTTGGAACTTTATTCTGGGCCTGCTTCCAAGTAAGCATGCTTGGGATCAGTATGTAATTACTTTTATTCATACCCTGTTTAAAGGGATGGAAGTCAGCTTTTCATTGAGAGTTAGATCTCAGAGCAAAACCAAAAATCAATATTACATTGTTAATCTGGTGTTTAGCTAGCCGTGTCTGTCACTTTTAGGACCAAGAAACAGTAAGTCAGTCAATGCCAATTCTGTTACTTAAAATGCGAACAGACTTCCCTGGTAGGGTTCAAATTGCAAAAAGGCCGATGAAAAGGACAGAGCATTTAACAAAAGCAGGTGCTTTTCAGAAGGAAAACAACCAGGAGCAAGCAAGTTCATTAATTATTTCAGATCACCTAGAATTCACCCTGGGTCTTCCTGAAAACTTAAAAGGAAAAAAAAAAATCCTATGCCAGAATACTATGCTCACATCCTTATAACCAATCTGTGGAAAAAAAATTTGGTCCTTAACTGGAAGGACAATTCTGAACAAATGCTGAGCAAGTACTCCTGTCTATTGGTACTTAGAAGTAAATCCCATTGAGTTCAATGGGGCTTATGCCCAGATAAGTGTGTGCAGGGTTGCAATTTTTGTGAGATTGCAAACAAGCTGCGAGTATGTCATGGATGTTTCAAAAGACAAAAAGTCTTATCCTAGGATGTGTTTGTCAACAGAGAAAGATTTCACATAGGGCATGATAATGCTGACAGAAGTCCAAAGCAGCGGGGTTGAGAGAGAGAAAGAGAAAGGAGGGAGAGAAGGAGACCTTAATTTTTCCATTGGCAACAAGATGACTGTACTTCCAGGTTAGTGTGGCACTCGAATGCCACCTGCCCTTTCACAACATCTTTATTTCATGGGGAGAAAGGTTGCCATTTTCTCCCTCTTTCACAGAGTTGCTGAGAATTTCATTGGCATCTCCCAGGGTGCCAGAGTTCAACCGTTATCTTATGCACAGAAATGGTAGAAGGGAGACATGCAAGCTTTTTTCTTTTTTTACCATTCCAGTTCCATTCTGTGTCTGGAAGCTGAATGAAGAGTTTGTTTTCTTCTTCTTCCTCCGCCACCTCTTCTATTTTTTCTACTTCCTGAATGGACTGCATGCTCTTGCTCAGCTTTGGGGTACTGAGCAGACAACACCACTAGAAAACCCCGAAGGAGGACTTCCTAGTTGAGTCCTCTGGGTCCCTTTCCAGAAAGGAGAGTCTGCATGGACAGACCAGAATAAAAATGGGAAAATAAGGAGGGCAACGCTGCTAGCACCTCCCCTCAGGCGCCTCCTTATAATATATTAGGCACTGGATTCCTGCACACTGAGACATTTCTCCAACCTTCTCACCTTTTCCCAGAATTTTGAGTGCACTTTCTTTTTGACTGTTTCCCAGGAATGGAAGGAAATAAATAGATCAAAAAATCTGGCAGAGTGCTAGTTCAGATCATGCTGTTAGTCCACATGCGTAGTATTTATTATTACATATATTTTTGTTAGCTTTTGTGCTTCTTTTGTTATGACAGCCTTTTCTTACTGAGAGATATTTAGAAATTGAGATCACAGTCAGCACTTTGCCTGCCATGTTTCTGGATGTTCTGTAGGGTTATGTTTATTCTTGTAGAACAGTTTTGTGCATTGTGTTGTATTTGTGCCCTTTTAAAATATGCTGCATGGAGATGTTGCCTTGTTCTGTTGGATCGGGAAGCGCTTGTTTGTTTTGCTTTCTTTGTTATGCACTTGCCCTTTGCGCCTTTGGTTTCTTTAGATGCTTAGTTGCCAACATAAGGGAAAAATTGCCCTGGCCAGCTCTGGATAGCTGTGTAGTACATTACGATAATCACACTGGAATCCTCTGCAATTGGGAATGGAAGGAAGGCCTACAACTCCCAACACTGTGCCTTAGAAAACTGAAATTCTAGAAGTGCAAAACAGAAATGATAGAAAGCCTTGTTCTAGAAAATGGAAATTCTCATGCACCTGGAGAAACATGTTAAGGAAAATATAGGAAGGCTGCCCCCAGTGACAAAGGTATTAAGGAGGGCTGGTTCTACCATAAAGCAGAGTGAGATGGTCTCTACTTCAGACGTCTGATTTGGGATGCCCAAATTACCATGTTGTGAATTGGTTTACGGTTATTCGTTCATTTATTTTAAAGAAATTTACTAATTTGTTGAGGTGTTTGTGAGATGTCTGCCTCAAGTGCCTGAAGAATGTCATCAGCCTTGGCTATTGCATGCCTTGATGGGGAAGGGGCATCACTTGCTACTTCAGCTCAGGAAGTGGAACATCCCAGGCTGTCCCTGATTAATGGGGATAGATAACAGCTGCAATGTCAGCCCAGCTCTGTGAAGACCTTAAAGGACTAGTGCCAGGCTGGGAACTGATAATTTTGCAGTTAACTGAGCCCTGCACCTAGTGACGAATCCAAACATCTAACTACAATAGGAGGAGGATATAAATATTCCCCATCTGGCCTACTGTCGCTTTATACAGTATACAGTCTGAAAGCTCTTAGCAGTCTGCTAAATATAAATGTGTGTTTTAGCAATGGTTTCCACAAATGAAGGTAAATGGACATTTTAGTAGACATCTCCTGCTAGGAATCCTTCAGCACTTCATAACAACCCACTCACAATTGCTTGGAGAACAAGGCATGCATTGTGAAATGTTAGCTTTTTATTACTTCTAGTAAACAAGAAAATATTTTTGAAAATATATATCAGTACATGAACTGGATTTTCAATAAGAAAGACAAAGTGAGTGTGTGTGTGTGTGTGTTGCTCTCTATTAGATTCCACAGAAATCAATCTGAAATCTGGTTCAGGCCATTAAATTAGATCTAAAGCTATTTAATTTGGTTTCAGGAGTGTTCCCCCCTCCACCTCTGTCGCCTAGCCGGAGGACACAGAGAGATAACGTTGCTTGAGTTATTATCACGTTATGGCCACTTCCACCGCTGAGCAAGGATTACACAGTATTATATATTTCTCGGTGGTTTGGCTGAAGCTGTATTAGCAGTCAACAAATAATGTGTTTTGACCAAAGTCTTTGAAGACATTGACCCTTCCTTTCCTTTTCTTCTCCCCTTTTTCCAGTATACTTTGAGAAATGAAATAGGGCTTTTAGTCATGTGTGTGTTGGTTGATTTTAGTCAAAGGGTAGTCCATATTATCAAAACTGAAACAACTGTATGGCCCTGAGCCCTACAGAGACCTTCTGAACTGAGGAAGATTTAACATTTTCTACAGAACCTTTGCAGTCTTGCTTGGGAAGTTCAGACCGTGGTTTGGACTCTTAAATAAGGTCAGCACAAGCCATGGTTGGATGCAATGTCTTAACGGAGACACTGTGTAAACTAAAGTCTGCTCCAAGTTCCTTCTGAGGAAGGGTAACAAATGTCATAAATAGACATGCTCTCATGTTGAATCATTGACATGCATGGGACTTTCTTCCACATAATTATGTTTCTAATTGTGAGGTAAAGGTTGAGAGAAGAGGGGATGTTGTGCCATTGCAATTCCCTGAAGAAGAAATTCTCTCTCGTGAGCAAAAGATGTGCCCCCATGTAACACAATGTTTTGTCCAAAAGTGCCCCATAAGCATTCAGCTTAGACATTCAAGTGCAGAGAACTATGCATTCCACAAGCAAGGGTCTAAAAATAGTTAAAAATAGTTATGGAGATAGAAAATTTGTTGTTTAATCACAAAGTCATGCCCAACCCATCACAACCCCATGGACAACATTCCTCCAGGCTCTCTTGTCCTCCACCATCCCTTGGAGTTCACCCAAGCCCACACTCACTGCCCCAGTGGCCCCATCCAGCCACCTCATCCTCTGCCGCCCCCTTCTCCTTCTGCCATCATAGAAAAGATTGGCCACTGCTAATAAACTACTGCACATTTTGGACAACTTCCTAAAAAGGAGGGCTTTCAGTTTCCCATCATTCCGCGTTCATTTCTAGAGTAGATGACTCTCCCACTCCATGCCCCACTGAGGTCTCTGATCATTGCATTCAAGGCCAGCATTAAGCAAAGCTTCTTTGGGTACCTGTTGAAGGCCCACAGGAGCCCCTGACTTGCCCCTCCTCTTCACTGTCGAAACCTTATGGTTCATCTGCTTGATTTCATCCAGACAAAGGTGGTGATGAGAATAAGGAGGAGGAGGAGATGATGCTGCCTCCATGCTTCCTGGCTCCTCATTCCCTGGTTCCCTCCTTCCCAAGCAAGCAAGGGGTAGCAAGCGCGAGAAGGAGGAAGAGGAGCAAGAAACATGGTGGTGACAGTTAGAAGGTTGATGCATGGAGACGGGGATCCCACAGAGGGTGTCTGGACCAAAATCCTCCAAAAGCCCTCATGGATTATGCTCATTCAGTAATCTGGAATCAGGCATGATTTCCCAGTCCCAGGGCACTCCTCCTTTCCCATTCTTCTTTCTGATACAATCCCATTTGAGAAATCATCAACAGCAAAGTAGCTTAGGGTAATCAATCAGAATAAGATGATAATGGCACTCATTCAGTAAAACAGCACTAAAGCTGATGTGGCAAACTACCGGTCACCCTCTGTCTAATCCTTGCCACATATTCAGGAATTTTTAAAACACTATTATTAATAGTGTTCATTAACTGCTGCACAAAAAGAGATTACTACATTTCCCTCTATTTACGTGGATTTTTGTGAGAAAGTCCTGCATCCTCCATGCTTTCTCGGTTCCCTTAAATCAGAGCTCCATTAATAATATTCTGTGAATTACAGCCCTGCTTGAATGAAAGGGGCGGTTCCCGGGAGGCCCGATCTGTTGCATTTTGTGTTGCCTTCTTCCTCTACTGCTTCCCCTGGAGGGCTGCAGAGTGTGTGATTGGCTAAAATTGGCTGGGGGATGTTGGGGGTCGAGTTTGTGAGGTTCGTGGAAGCCTCACCCCTCCTCTTCTCCTATAATCTGAGCACCCTACAAAGGAGATGGGAACCCAGTGCCATGGGTTTTAGGTTACATCTTCCATTATCTCAGCCAGTGTGGCAAGGGGGTTATGGGAATTATAGTCCCAAATAGCTAAATGACACCAGGAAGTAACCCAGCCTAGACTTCCTTTTATACTGTCACAGTATTTATGCAAAATATTTAGTGTTGTTAGAGTACATGCTAATGAAAGAAGTGGCGTTTCCACTGTGTTGAAAATGTGATCTTGTGTTGCACACAAATGCTACTGCAGGGCATGTAGGAGGAGTTGAAGAGGTGTGGATTTGGAGAGGTGAAGGGCGGACAGGGCAAGGGACAACTGTAGTCTAATGCACTTACTTATGGATAATTGCAATTGCTAGTGACTTTGTCACACTGATTCTATAGAAATATTCCCACTGTCTTAACTAAAACAAAAAACCCTCACATTTCATAAGTATATGCTATCTCTTTCTCTGTCGTTACAGAAAAAGTAAGCATTTTGTCGACCTTCATCGCACCCTTCAAGTATTTAAGTCCCGGTGCAACAAATATGGAAGACGAAGACAATTTAAGTAAGCCGTTTCTCTTCTTCATATTGAGGTGAATAGTAGAGCCAATAGGATGTAATGTGTCGTATGTGTGTGGAATTTGCCATGTAGAGCAACCTTGCATTTGACTGGTAAATGGTGTGTAGGAGTCACTTTTGGCTCAGCAGGATGGAGAATTCCCAGCTGCCGCTGTGCAAGTTTGGAGTGGTCCTCCACAGAGCCAGGCTGCACTGGTGTGTGCAATAGCACTGGGCAGCACTTCTTTACCCGCCTTCTCTGTAGGTTCTTATGCATCGCCCATGGATGGGTAATGTTTGAACTTCCATTTCAGGAACAATCAGGGCATCTCCCCATTGCAGAGATGCACAAAGTTGATTCCAAGCTGGCCACAAAAGGTTTATCCATCCTTTACTTGTGTAGCAGTAGTATTTACGTTCTGCTTAATATAATAAAATCTCTAAGTGGTTTGCTTATCAGTATCAAAAATAATGTTTAAATGCAACCTTAAAAGCCATTTCAGCTACGGTAACTATTTTATCTTATCTTATCTTAGCTTCAACTAAGATATATTTTCCCAAACTGCACCATAGTTGAAGCTCTCGGGATACTTTATATTACCAACCATATCTCAAATACACTACTGAAAACCATTCCAACTACAATGACCATTCAAAACAGAACAAGGAACTGTATAATCCCCATAGGATTAATCTCCAAAACTAATCCTGGGTGGAGAAGATTTCAGGAAGTGTTTAATGTTCCATCAACTCTACCTCCCAAACAGAACAGGGGAAGGATTTCAAGAAGATGACTCCACTGTGAGAAAGCTCCCTTGCGAGATAGGCTAGGCAGCCTTCTCTTGGTCGCATAATCACCAGCAAGGCCTCCTCTGAAGATTGCAACAGTTAGCTGGGTGTTAACAGGGGTTAGGGGTCTACCAGGTATGCAGGTCCCATGGCATTCAGGGGTTTGCTGGTCAACAGCCTAGGCATGAACATAGCCAAGTACCCAATGCCCATCCTACCTACTCCTCACCATATTTTCTTTTTTGTGTCCAAAGCAACTCTCACTGGTACCTGGTTATGCACTCTGACAGTAAATGCTGGGGAAAGACACTGAGAAAAGTCATAAAGCAGCAGAAAGGAAAATAAAATAATTAAGAGAAAGTGGAACTGAGTGCAGAGCACAAAGTATTTTTAGCCCAGACTTTAATACTGTTAAGTTTTGAAGAAGGAAAAGAAGAATATTCTGTGTCCAAATGATGGCCTTCCATCTAACTCGGCATCAGCCATTAGAAAGCCAGTGTGATGGAGTGGTTAAGTGCACTGAACTCTGGAGATCTGGGTTCTACACCCCATTCAGCAATTAGCTGACTTTGGGCCAGTCACTGTCTCTCAGCCTAACCTACCTCACAGGGTTCTTGCTCTCCAAATAAATTGAAGAGAAGGAGAACCTCATAAGCTGCCTTGGGTTCCTTGAAGAGAGAGAAAGGCAACATATAAATGCATCCTCACCATCACCATCATCTTCATTAGTTGGAAGCTATGAAAAAGGAAATTGCATCTTACAAGTCATGGTTAGAGAAAGTGCCTCTTCCTCTGTGGTAAAATCTATGTAGTTATTTATCTAAAGTATTTTTATCCCACTCTTCATCCAAAAAGGTTCCCAGATTAACATGCATATAATCAATTGCCACTCCTTGCTTGCAGAGCTGCAAAGAAAAAAGAGACAGCACACAAAGAAAGAGGGCCGGAGAGGGGAGAAGGGGAAATCCGTTCAGCGGGGTGAATTGTTTGTTTCGCCTGCCCAAAGGGCTGCTAATAGTCATTCTCTTTTCTGCTCTGCACTCTTGCACACTATTACACATCCCAGCATTGGTTGCCTAAGGCTGTCACAACCCATTTCCTTGCCCCACACTTTTTTCCAGCGGGTGGCATGGAGGTGATGCATACCTGAGAAGCAATATGTACAAAGAGTGTGCCTCACCCTTTTCCCACCTGCCGCTCCTCTGACCCTTACCTGTTCCTTGCTTCTGGAAATGCAGTGGGTATGGGCCCAGTCGCTGAGCAATCACAAATGGGATCTGGGTGCTTGGAATGCTAAAGATCCCAAAGGAGCTTGGCACTCAGGAGAGCTGTTGGCACTTCCCTTTCCTTTCCTAGTCCTCAGCCAGGCTTTGATGCAGCCAGGGACCAACATGCTGTCCTAAGATGGGTAGCCACATGGGGCTAGACAGGACATGCCAGTGGACCTTAATCTCCTGGGTGTCTCGTGATCTGCTGTGCTTCTGTGGTCCTGGCTGCGGCAGGGAGCAAGCTTGCTCAGTCAGAAGCCAGTCAGCCAGCCAGCACGGAGCTCTCCTGCACTGCAGCTAGGATGTGGGAGCCCAGAGAACCTGAAAGAGCAGCGGATGCCCAAGCCCCGCTCCAGTGGTACAGATCCTGCCTCTCCTCCTCCTCCCAGGAGGTCTCAGGTCCAGGTGTCTCTTTTATTATTTTTTTATTTATTTAAAGTTTTTATATGTCATCCCCTTGCTACACAGCCTTGGGACAGCTTACAGATATAAATAAATACAGCATAATAACAATTACAATTAAAACCTGGAGACACACTGGCTGCACGATTAAAATCTATAAATATTAAACATTAAAATACTGTTTGAATAAAAAGGTCTTGGCCTGGCGCCGAAAAACAAATAACGACGGCGCCAGGCGGACCTCTCTGGGGAGCGCATTCCACAGATGGGGCGCCACCGCAGAGAAAGCCCTCCTCCGGGTACTTTGCTTCCTGATATCTCTCACGGAAGGCTCCCAGAGGAGGGCCTCTGCTGCCAATCTCAAGGGGCAGGGGGGCAAATATGGCCGCAGGCATTCCTTCAGGTATCCGGGTCCCAAGCCATTAAGGGCTTTGTAAGTGATTACCAACACCTTGAATTGAGCCCGGACTTTGATGGGAAGCCAGTGAAGCTGGTAGAGGACTGGGGTTATATGAGAATAATGCCCAGTCCTCGTCAGCAACCTGGCTGCTCTATTTTGCACCATCTGAAGTATCCAGACTGTCTTCAAGGGCAGCCCCATGTAGAGCACGTCACAGAAATCCAACCGGGAAGTAACCAATGCATGCGTCACTGTCGCCAGGCAGTCGTCCTACATCTGGACATGGCTGTACTCTAACACACGGCCACTTTCCCTTAGCAAGGGTTCCACAGCCATGATTGCAACACTAATGAATTGCAAATGCTAATGATCCCTTCTCATCCACTAGGGGTCACCAGGTAAACTTAAGCAAGTCCGTTAGTCATTTGTCATGGTTATTAAGAGCTGGATAAAATCGATTCTACTGCCTACGTGTGAATGGGGCCAAATTGAGGTGGACATCCATAACACATCACTGGCGAGTTGCGTTTATCTTGATGTATTACAAGTCTATGCAGGCAAGACTTGGTCATGTTCCATCTTATTGTGGAAGATTTCTGGGTAGCTGTTTGTGTCCAGGTTACACAATTCTATTAAACACCCTCAGCCGAGCTACATCTTTAGTGCCCTGGAGGGCAAGAAAGGAGATGTTTACATTTCTTTAACTGATCCCCAACAAAAAGATGTGTTTCTACCCTCATCTCCTCAGGCAGAGAGAAACAACTGCCCACAATTTCTACTGATTTATTTATTTAAAACATTTCTATGCCGTCCCCATCGCATCAAAGCCTTGGGGCGACTCACAAAAAATACACAAAAACATACATAAACAATAACAATATAACAGTTTAAAAGAAAAAAAAACATTTAAAAACGCCCGGTGCATTCTCGGCTAATTTTAAAATCCTAATAAATGCAATAATTTAGCAATTAAAATAAGTTTTAAATAAAAAGGTCTTAGCCTGGCGCCGAAAAACAAATAAAGATACAGTTGCTGGGCTGGTTACCAAGTCCCACCAGTTAGCTTGGTGAAATGCATTGTTTTCAAATAGGTCAAACAGGTATGGGAAAGAAACCGTTCCACTTTCTGTGCTCAGTGTGAGGCAGGTGGGGAGCAAATAGTTCTGAAAGGGGGTTAAGTCATGCACTAATACCAGGATAATAATTGTACATGCATTTAAGCCTTAACACGATTGTCACCATCTGTACCATTTGCATTTTAATTCCCTCTCACCTCATAGACTGTATTTCCGAGACACAAAAAGAGCCAGACACAGCCTCTCTATATAATATATATAGTATTTTTATGACTGGGGATAACGCTTCAAACACTGAATAAAGCAGGCTCTTGTCTGTAAAGGCTTATGCCATAATAAGTTTGCTGGTCATTATGGTACCAGAAGGCACTTGACCATTTTATTAAGAGGGGTGTATCTTCTTGAAAGAGCCCTCATCTTTGATCATCACCATTGGTACGGTAGATACCCTCTTGGTATTCACAGGAGCCCCTACCTGAACTGTGTTATTTACAATTCCTTATAATGAAGAGATTGCCGTTCATTTGTTTCTTTTTCCTCATCCAAAGTTCATGCTGCCTGGCAGCGGAATAACCTTCAAGAGGAACAATATTATTGCTTCAAATGTAGCGTGGAGTGCCGGATGGCTAGTTCTCCTGAACCCGTGTGACCCAGAGACAAAGGCAGTGTCATTATTAGTGATGCATTATAGTTCTCAATAGCTCTTCATGATGCAAGCTCTCCAGGTTAATACTGCCATGCCTGATGACCAGATGTACCGGCGGGGGGAGCAGTGTATGGGTAAGCAAGAACAGGGGGGAAATGAATAGAGCTATCTAGGAGGAATATTCAAATGTAAGGATGTCTCACTGGACACCAAGGAAAATCCGTTCACTCCATTGTATTTGCAATCACAATGTATAGGTGTGAAAACTGGACAGTGAAGAAAGCTGACAGGAAGCAAATGGATGCAGGTGAAACATGGTGTGCGAGGAGAGCTTGGTGAATACACTGGACTGACCGAAAGCGAAACGAGTGGATCCTAGATCAAATCCATCCAGAGCTTTTCCTAGGAGCGAAATGGCAAAGCTGCGGTTGTCCTACTTTGGGCATATCATGAGAAGGCAAAAAAAAAACTCCCTGGAGAAGACAATCATGCTAGGGCAAGTTGAAGGCAATAGAAGAAAAGACCAAATATGAAACAGATGGACTCCACAAAGGACGCCACAGCCTTGAATTTAGAATAGCTAAGCGGGGATGTCATGGAAAGGACGTTTTAGAGGGCTTTCTTTCATAGGGTCTGTTGACCCAGCAACAATAGCAGCAGGAATATCCAGCAACAGACCAGACTGCTCCTTTCTTCCCGTTCAAATGAAGTTAAATCAAAATGAGGGCCAAACCATTTCTTCAGCCCGGTTGGGGCTGAAGGAGTGCTTGGTTTGGGGATGGGAACGCCCTCAGCTCAAGCCCCCAGGATTGCAGCCCTCTTTCTCTCTGCCCTAAGTTCGCCTCATGCTGAGCACCTGCATGGACATCTGGAAAAAATACAAGTCCAGGTTAGTCCACAAGGCCAGCTTGCACACACACGGCCTGTGCACCAACTGTGCACATGACTGGAGAGCTTTGCAGACTTTGTGTACTTTGTGCAAAGCATTTCATACTTGGAGCACTTTCTGCAAAGCCTCTGCTACCCTTCCCAAGTGTTTGTGGACTTCGGTCGCTTTCTGCACAGGGCCAAGCACAGGACAGAAGTCCAACAGGTGCAAGAGAAGAGAGATGGATTCTGACCTGATCTTCTCATCCCTGTTCTTGAGTCCCAACCAGCAATCTAACACTATGCCAGACTGGCTGTGATGGGAGTTGAAATCCAAAGCATCTATAGGGCACCAGACTGAAGAAGGAGGTGCTACACAGTCTCGGAGGCAAACCCAGAGAGAAATTTTCAGATCTCAAAGGGATTCATCTGCATTATAGAACTGGTTGCTCTGTGCGTCAAAGAAAGAGCACAGAAATAAAAAGATGAATTTTCTACGGTCACAAACCATCACTACAGGCATTATGCAAAGGGGATGGGGGACAGAGATTGGAAAAGGCAATATGAATTATAAATACAAATAACCCCCTGTGTTTTCTTATTCAGTGATGCAGAATCAATACAAATTCTTTTCAAACCTGAATACAGTGTGAAACAAGGGTTTCTTTCTTCACATGCTTTCCAACCTCAATATCATTATGTACAATAATTGGGTCTATAAAAACCTATTAAATGAAGAGAGAGGAGAGGTGTGAATTTCAGGACCTGCCCCCACTTTTCTGTGGACAAACATGCCTGGGAATAATACAGGCTTTGTCTGGTTTTTGTTTTTAAGTTAGTGTTGAAGGGAATAAATCTGCAAAAGTCTGATACTTGTGATAAGGTTTTTGGTTGTGTGTGCGGGTGTGTTTTAAGAGACGGCATTTATCACATATACAAAGTATTTACAAAGGGTAGAAGAGTCACAGATAACGGTTCACAGCCAGTGTAGCATCATGGGCACTATCTTGGATTTCCACTGCGGACGTTCATGTCCAAATCAGGCATGAAACTCTTTGGTTCACCATATAGAACTGAAATTGCACAAAGGATGGATTTCAGCTATATCAACTGCACTGAGAGCAATAGACTTTCCCACTTCCATCCCCCTGAAAAGGCCATACAGAAACAAGAAACTCTTCTGAATGGAGTGAGTGTGCTGTGTGTAGAGATCTCCAAACCTGGGCAAAGGGGCCTTCTGTTAGCAGGGCCCTCCTCTTGTGAAAGGGCCTGGATCCAACTCACTGTGTGTGTAGAACAGAGCAGAATGGAACCCTGTCAGAGCAATACAACAGTGGAACCAGCTGCCGAGAGAGGTGGTGGGTTCTCCCACACTAGAGACATTCAGAAGAAACTGGACAGCCATCCGAGTGGGATGATATAACATGGTGTCCTGCAACAGCAGGGGAATGATCTGATGGCCTTCTTGGCCCCTTTCAACTCTACCATTCTAAGAATCTATGATTCTATGAACCCTGCTGGATTCGACCAAAGTCCTTTACATTCCTGCGTCCTCTTTCTTTGATAGTTGATCAGGTGCTGATGGAAAGCCCACAGGCTGGACATCAACTTGACTGAGAGCCAATGTGGGGTAGCAGTGAAGAGTGCTGGACTGAGTTCTAGTCTCTGCTCAGCCATGGAGCCAAGTGGGTGGATTTGGGCCAGTCACAGACTCTCAGCCCAAGCTACCTCACAGGGTTGTTGTTGTGGGGATAGGATTCAGCACAGGAGGAGGAGAATGAAGTAAGCCACATTGAGTTCCTTAAAAAGAAAACAATCAAAGGTAGGATGTAAATCAAAAACATACATACATACATACATACATACAACAGCCTTCTCTTGCTGATGTGCCCTTATCAGGTGGTATTAAGACAGATGTTCCTCAGTTCTTTGAACCTACAGTCAATATATAACCATCATGACAAGTTTCTCCTGCATGAATCTGATTAATCTCCATGTAAAGCCATCCCAGTTGGGGGCCATCACTTCGTCTTGGGGTAGCGAGTTCCACAACTTAACTATGCACTCTTTTTATCTGTTCTGCATCTCCCACAATTCATTGTCATGGTGTTCTGAAAGAGGAATAAAAACCTCTCTGTATTCCCTTCACTCACAAAATGGAGACACGTTGTAAGTCATTCTGATGGATTTTTGTCCTTCTGAGGGGGGAAACGTTAAAGGGTAGCCATGAGCAAGATAAAAATGTAACAGAAATCATCCTTTTCATCTTCTCATTCTTAGATTTCACCATGACACCACTAAGTTGGGCTTTTTTTACATTTCCATTGTTTTTCAAACAGGTACAAGCAGTGCAGAAGTCAAGGAGAACCGTAACACTGGCAACCTAGAAGATCACCCCATTCCCTCTAATGAGCGATCAAGAGTGGGAACTTCCAGCATCAAAAGGAAGAGGCCTCTGGAGGAGGGCAACAATGGACGTTTCTGCAAACTTCAGCTCATATGGAAGAAGGTCTCATGGTCAGTAACACCAAAGAATGCTCTGGTTCAACTACATGAACTTAAGCCGGGTTTACAATACAAAATGGTGTCCCAGACAGGCCCTGTCCATGCTCCAGTCTTTGCAGTTGCTGTGGAAGTTAACGGGCTTACATTTGAAGGCACTGGACCCACAAAAAAGAAGGCTAAAATGAGGGCCGCAGAACTAGCCCTCAAGTCTTTTGTCCAGTTCCCCAATGCATGTCAAGCTCACTTTGCCATGGGGAATTGTTTCAATCCTTCCACAGACTTTACATCGGACCAGGCGGACTTTCCAGACACTCTGTTCAAGGAGTTTGAACCATCTACGCACAGTAAGGACTTCTCCGTCTATAAGCCGGTGAATAACGAACTGCTTTCGACAGCTTACCGGCATGGGAGGTTACTTTGCCACACACTGGACTTCGTGGGCCACCCTAAACAAAACAAGCACAAGATGGCGTCTGCCGCTGAGGGCGAAAAGAACCCAGTCGTGTTGCTCAATGAATTGCGGTCAGGACTGAGGTACGTCTGCCTTTCGGAGACTGTGGAGAAGCAGCATATCAAGAGTTTTGTGATGGCTGTGAGAGTGGATGGGAGAACCTTTGAAGGCTCGGGACGTAACAAGAAGCTGGCTAAAGGTCAAGCAGCACAGGCTGCACTTCAGGCCCTCTTTAACATTCGGCTGCCCAGTTACATTCCCAGCAGGAGTAAATGTAATCATTTGCCACAGGTGAGAGCTCTAAGGTAGCCACCACCGAGCTGAAGAAAGTCTTTAAGATTAATGTGATTTTTCGCATTCGAGCTGTAAATGGTGACTTTATCAGGTTACTCTCCTCACAGGATACGGTACCGCAGCAAATCCCGTTTCTTCACAGAAGTCACACACAAAGACCCTGCGTATATGTCCCTCACTGCATCATTAAGGGTGTGATGAGATGCCTATTTAGACAGGAAAGGGGCCTACAGCTCCCCGTATGCCCCAGCCAGACATACTGGAAGCTGTAGTCCTTTATTTTAGCCAAACATCCATGGGATTGTGCCCTAAGAGCTATGATATGGGTGATTTTCCAAAGGGGCAGCTGAGATTAGAGAAGCACAAGGGACAATTAATAATTCCCTGACAAGTTATAGCACTACTGCATGTCGCGAAGGCAGATAGCAGACAGCAGGTGTCGTCATCGTTGGTTTTAGTGGGGATGCAAGGTTGCAATGGGGTGTCCTTGTTTCTTTTTTCTGACATTTTGATAAAGAGGCCATCATTCCTGAAATTAACATATCAAATACAACATGTCTTTTTCTATATCTCATCCCCAAACAAAGCTGGCAAAGAACTTTGTGTGTGGCTATCAAACATGTGACTGAGTGGAGGGGACAGACTTGCATGGTCTTGAAAATTGTGTGTTCACCTGGACCTACATCAATCTTCTT